CTAGTCAACACCCTCAATGGAGTTTAGCAGATAATATCGCCTCACTTTCGTAAAAAATTTTGGAATGAATTTTTTTCTTTGTTTCAAAAGTATGTGGACACTTGAAGAAGATCAGATTTTGGCGCCGAAATTTCCACCGGTTTCAATCCGACTTTGCTGTTTTCATTTCGTCATCATGTCATTCGTGGCATACTTCTTCCTGAAGATGAACAAGCTCAGATCAAGGTTCTGCATGATAATGAACGTTCCAATCTAGAAATCGCACGATAACTTGGTCGTTCTCCTTAATGCATTGGAAGATTCATCCGGCACCCTGATTTATACTCAGCACACACTCCGCTCCATCCACGATCCTTGACTGCTCAGAACAACAAAAGAGTAGCCCACATCCTGTCGGATTCTTCATTGACAGTCCGAGCTCAGATTTTTATTCCAGCCTCGAAAATGACCACTAAGCCCCTCATCCGCTCAAATGAATACACCACTCGACAGACGCTGAGAAAGGCTACTCACTTCAAGGCCCAGCACAAGTTAGCCACATTGGAGTCTGCTCGTACAGACATGGCAACATAGGATAGGACACGGGGATAAGACACGGTTTTTCGAGAATTTCCTATTTTCAAAACAAGCAACTTTTTATGGACTTTCTCTCCTCAGGTAATCTTAACTCATGGAAAGAGTTCGATCTTGACGGGCCGGGTGGATTTTGCTACTACTGGAGAGGCTTGGCCGTGAGTCGCTCGTGCTCTCGAGAAGGAATTTCGGAAAGGCCCGTTGATGGGTCTGCGGCGGTTTCGCAAGCAGCGGAAATTCAGAAGTTGCCGTTCCATTATTGCGTATGAACTGTAAAGAATACCAAGCAGTGCTCCAATGTCACCTGTTGCCTTTTCCTTAGCGAAGCGGAGCGAAAATTGCATTTTTAGCAACAGGACCACGTGTCTTTCGATGCTTCGCAATCTACCAAAGAATGGCCTTAACCAAATGGTGCTGAAGCGATAGATTGGCTTGTGTGTTCTCCTTACTGCCCAACCCTATACCCTTCCCAACCGGTTCCATCCAACAGTACAGATTAACTTCTCGCATTCCGTTGTATCTCACTTTGTCTCGCGGCTTTTGTCTCTCGTCTTTCCCAGCGAACAATATAAACTGTACGTGTAAACGACTGCCGAGCAGTACACAACCGATGAATGAAGACGGCTAGAGGCTATTCTGGTGACACCGCCTCGGACACCAAGCGACGACACCAACGATCTGACTCGGCCAGAGGCCCTGTACACACGAATCATGGCCATAGGATCGCTTCTTGAGCGCCAAAACATTAACATACCTCATAAGCGACTTCTACCTCGCTGCGTTAATCCTCGGTTGTATAAATGCTTCTATTGTTAAAGAGTCCCCTTATTTGTAAATACCGAATATGTACAACGCACACAAAATTTCTACATTCAAATAATTTATCGTTTTACTAATATAAACCCGCAAGAAATTAGCTAAAATAATTCAAAACAACTTCTCAAAAGCAATTTAAACTTGGAGCCCGTCGTCAGTTTGTGTGTTTGTCTGCATTCGAAAACACTTTCTCGCTTTTTAAAGGGGAGGTTGCCACACGTCCGTCCAGAGCTGGATTTCCCTGAGAACTAACCAGGCACAACGAATTCGGAATTCGGAAGCCTTCTGAGCCACCGTTCAGGAAGTTATTCGGGTAGCGCTGGTGACCTTGTGCGGACTTCTTGGGTGCAGACACGATCACCCAACGCAATCGGGTTCAAAGTATTAAATAATGCATTAGTACAAAGCAATTTGAGTTATTTGTACCCGTTTGAATTTTTCCTGAGCAGGTGAATTTTTTGCTTAAGGCGGGGTTCTCATTTTTCCGTTCTCATTTTTTTCCCCATTTTGCGTGCATGAGCCCGATTCATAGTCATTTATTGTTTGGCTCTAAAAATGACTACCTGACTGGCTCTCCGTAAGGTGAATATTGTGGACCGCATCTACAGAGATCGTGCTATTTTCGGAGCTTATAGCCTCCACGGGCCAGGGTCAACCGTGCATTGCGCACTTCTCAACCAGAGGCCGTCGTTATCTGAGATTTATTTTCGGAGGGGGGGTCGTATTAAATTAAATGAGGGGTGGTATTGACAGATGGGCGCCAGATTTGGATTTGTGCAAGAGTAAACTTGTAGATTGATCAGTAGATACGAATGATTGAAGGATTTTCTGTGCTTCAGCATATTCTCCCCGCACCTCTCAGCTCGGTATTTTACCATTTCAGAGAAAAGCAAAAAGTGGGTGGAGTTTTGGCTGTGTTGACTGGTTTCATGGTCAGAATCAAACACTATTTAAACAGCCATAAGCCATTATGGCGATGGAGGTGGACGGTAGGGAAGGGGGTCGTATTGAGGAGCCTCACAAGGCTGATGGTGCCAAATCAAGGCCGTATCGAGATACCCTCTTTTACGAGCCCCTAATGGAGAAAGGTCCTAAAGCCTGTATCGGTAGCTGGTCATCAGCCATCAACGCACTCCTCTGCCCCAGGAGACGGTAGCTGGGCAGGTTTGGGAGTAATTACGATGGGATAAGAACCGAAAGGAATGCTAGCAAGCAAGCTTCCTTGCCTGCAGAGAGGTCACCTATTCCCTCTGAGCGTGGGATACCAAGCGAAAACCCATCCTACCACCCAGATGCCTCTCCTTGTTCCCATTCCCTAAAGGTGATTGCAAAAGGTGCGTTGTTCTGGGCGATTTCCTTGGCATTTTTCCTTGGTGACGAGTCATTTAGCACCTTTCATTTTTGCCCGCGATAGCCCGCACCTGGGCTATTGTTAAAGTGCACCCAAGATGCGCAACGTTTACCCTACCATTGATGAGATCAGCTCACATGGCTATTAGATCACTTCATTCCCGTCGTAGAGCTGTGATTACCGTACCGACTTGACCCGTATCGCTTGTTCTCTGTCTCGGCGATCTCGTTGGTTCATCTAACTAGGGCAGGTTAACCCGGCGTTTTACCGAGCCCTTTCGCAGATCAATTAACCCAGCAGATACCGTAACCCGTCAGGCCGATGCTGCTGGGTTCCGATGAGCAATGTGGGGAAATAAAACCACTTTTTCAGTGTTCCTGTTCGTCGGATTGGTGCTGACCACATTGGCAGTGGATGTGATGGGCTCCGCGTGTATCGAACGAATCCACTCGTTGGGCCGAGGTTTGGACGCCATGGCGCTGCTTGAGAGCCCTGAAAGGAGCCAAAACTCACAGGTAAGTAAGAATCTGCCCGGATAAGAGATCTCTCTTTCTTTTTCTCTGCGTCTCTGCGTCTCACAGACGTCTCTGCTTCTTCAGGTCGCCGCCCACTCCGCTGTGGTTCGCATTTGTACCCAAGGACGCGGCGGCGATCCCGTACATTGACGATGCGGATGCGGCGCGTGCTGTTGCTGCTCGTGAAGCCGTCACCCCTAAGGGCTCAATTGCGGCCTCCAGGCATTCCTGACGAGGTTGGCACTGCGCCAGATGTGGCGCCGGCCGTGTTCGACGGTGTTGTCGAACCAGCCAGTGCATTCTTGGACGTGGTGGCCGGTCTCGATCCGGACCTGGACCGAATTGTATGCTATGGTCCGGAACCCATTCGTCAACATCTTATTCCACAACTCGTTCGTGAAGATCTTCACATACCGCCTATACTGCTCAATTACTATGATCTAAGTAAAGTTAGTACTGTTGAATCGACTTCCGGTGAATTTGACGAGGAAGCACGTCAAATGACATCACGTCTTGAAACATTGTCCGAAGGTTTGTTACCCTTGTCCGCGATTGTTCATTGATATCTCATTATTTTTCACCTTTTTTCCTTGCCTATTTTTTTACCCCCCTTATGTCATCCTCGTTTTCCTTTTATTGTTTGAACATTTCTGTCAATTGATTCACAATATCAGGATGTGTTTCCATCGTGTGCACTTACAATCTCTC